AGAAGCTTTCGTTTTTGTGCGAAATAGAATGAACGTTCCAAATCCTTGTTTCAATTTAACAAATGATAATTCTATTTCCATGAAGGTGCATTCAATCGTTAATAAACAGCGTACGATTTCCCGAATGTGCACTGAATTTGGTACATTGACATTTCATTTTAGCGCGAAATCGAAGGCACATCCGCAATCCTGTTTTCCTTTTAATTTATCATCAATCTATTTCGCTAATGTGCATCCGATTTCCCGCGCAGCGTTACTTAACGTATGCCTGGTCAAGCATTGGAATTCATTTATGTGTTCACAAAAAAAGCATATGAGGAATAATGGAATGAATGATTGAACTTTTGAATATTCATGATGATTGATCTAAACCAAGTGGTGCAGTCTTTCAAAACATACCAACTATTGTAATAATAAAAACCTAAGAGGAAGACAATCGTTCTTCTTTTTTTTTGCTCAGCATTTGCCACAATCGCATCATATAATCAAGCAATCGATTTGATAAAATTAGAGAAAAATACAGAAACACATTAAAATAAATTAAGACAAAGAAACAACCAAAAAGTTCCCCGGATCCCATGTAACATGACACGTGATGTTTCCCTTTACCGTCCCAATAATATGCCTACAAGATTATTTTGATTGATTTTATTTTGGTGAGATTTATATCTTTTTAACATTTCATTTGCCTATTTCAAATAGGCCTTTGTGTACATAAGAGCAAACGCCTTAATGATCAATTAGGCCTACAAAGCTGTATCATGATTTGTATAGGCTGTAAACTGTATTTAAATTGAAAGCATACTTTGCGAATTTAAATAATGACAAATGAAAAAGTCTGTACAATTCAGCCCGTGTCACAATAACAAATCGATTTTCTGCGAATTGGATTGCACATTCGTAATAAACGGCAACGCATCCGTCGAACCGAAAGCCTAATTACGTACGTTATGCATATTCATTTATTTGAATGATGCAAAATGAAATCGAATGGTAGTTAATGCAAAAATGAAACCCAGATATACGTTGTTCTCAAAATCAGCGCCAAATGGAATTTATGTTTTGCAAATTCAAATGTACATTTTCCAAAGTTGTTCGGGAAAACCTATATTATAGTTCCTAGGAAGAAATGTCGGCTTGATGTTTAGTAGTCCGGTCAAATTGAGAACAAAACAGGGCCTGACCTAGAACAAATTGCAATAGAATTTAATTTAATGCTATAACACTAAGGCAATATCGCTATAAAAATCTAATTTCATCAACGGAGTAGAAAAGTGCTTATATTTACTTTTTCGCTACTAATTTTCATCATACGTAAACCTTGAGCCGTATAAAGGGCGTCATGTTTTTTTGTGTCAGTTAGTCGTCAGAAAATCCGTTCACATCACGTTCGTGAGACACGACTGATCACTGCAGATGACTTTTTTATGTCCACCAATTATTAAAATTTATGGTAATTTGCACTGTCACCAAAACTATAGGATATTTTCTTTTAAAAAAATCAAGAAATTTGAGATTTTTTGTGCCCGAATTACCCATTGCTTAAAATAAATCACTTTGTGCTCAATAAACCATTTGTTTGTTTCAGCGAAACTCTTTTCATAAATAGGTCTATTTGAAACAAGGCCGGGCCGCGAATTTTTTTCTCCCAAACGACATCCGCATATGGGTGTACGCTATGGCGTTTTGGACTTAATTTTTATAAAAACATGAGAAGAAAATATGAAATGTGAAAAAAAAGTGAATTTGAACGTTATGAAATTCGGACTTTATTTCCCTTTAAAAAAATCCTCCAAAGCCTCAGGTTAGAAAAGGAAAACAATTGGGTGCAAAATCGAACCCGCAACCTCGCGGTGCAAAATCCTGTCCTTTATCGACTGAGCTGTCGCACTACTCGCCTGTAGGAGGCGAAACAAATAATTATATAACTGCGTGCGATTCATCAAAGTATCGGAGAGGGCGCTAAACAATGTATGCGGATGTCGTTTGGGAGAAAAAAATCGCGGCCGGGTCAATGATTTTACAAAGAGACCATTTAAAGTTAAAATTAATTTAAGTGTCTACGCCAATAGGCCGGAGTCCAATTTTAATTATTAGGGAAAATATCCGAAATCCAAGATTCGTGTGTTCGTTTTGTCATGAATTTAGATCATAAGCTAAACTTATAAATAACCTATACATTGTGAAAAAAAAATATGTATACTAAAAAAACCTTAATGAAGACAAATTAACTGGATTAAAATCTTGCAGTAAAAATTTAGCTGAATTCTGGGCTTTAGAGAAAAGAAATATAGGCAGTGTGGCAAGTGTATTACCTCTACAAATAATATACGTGCCCCCAGATCAAAGCCTTTTATGGGGGTATGGACCATGCCATTGAGATCATTTTTTTTGTAAGTAATAAAAAACAACGCGAGGTCTGTTCCATCCAAAAACTAATTTCGTCGGGACTCAAGTATGCTTTTCTGGAGTTGTGCATTTCACTCATGGTAGTACAAGAAGATTTCACAATCAATTTTCATACCTCGATCAGGATCTTCACAATTCAGCAGTTTAAATACAAAATGTACTGATGAAAAATGTGTGACGTACATAATTATGCCAAGCTCATGTACAGAACATGTGTTTCTCATCAACCTCATAGACATTTTTGTTTTAATTGTGATCTAGGTATTTTGAGATGTTTTGTTTTATTATATTCATGTACTAACAAATGTACTGTAAGCATCACAACCCGAGCCCAATACTTCCTGAATGTTCTTAACCGAATCCAACAAATTATTTTCAGGCGCTCAATCAATAGTCTTTAAATAAAGATTTTTCGCTTAACTTTCAAAATGGTTCATGCATGATCAAATATGATTTTTAGACATCCGTTTTTGCAAATAATCGTATCTCGTCTGTGGACTTATTGCACACCTTAGGCGGAAAATGGAGTCCACTAAATCCGTACTGCCCTATGATGACGTGATCATGATGTCAATCTTCGGGACACATCTTTGTTATAGGGACTATGCCTATGGTGACTGAATGATGTATGACAATGATTAATGCCAAAAGTGGAGTGTAGAAAAGTCGTGCACAAAGTGAATGGAGTTTGAAATGGAACCAACAGAAGAAGAAAGTAAGAAGAAACCAGCCCGAAAAATAAAGCTTTTGCGCACTTTGCGGAAAAGCCGAATAATGTGAACGAAAAGAAAGGCCGTTTTGGCCTGGATTGTCAAAACATCTGGCGGGATAAGGTATAGAAAGAGAGTTGGGAAAACCAATGATTGTCGCTGTTTATAATGTACGTCAGTGGTTAAAAGTGGGATCATTCCTCATTTTGATATAGCACGTTTTTATAGAAACGGTTGTGGGAGGAGTTGCATGTAAATAGGTGATGAATATGTAAAATATAGAGCATGCGTAATAGGGGAAATTAAGGTAGTGTTGACGAGTGACAGTGGCATACAGTGATTTGAAACTGAAATATAAAGTGGCGTAGATATATGAAGTAGGTACGGTGGGTGGGGGGGGGCTAACGAGGAAGGGGCATTACGTAAGGAAGAGAAGTAACACGAACGAGGGCTTCTAGGGGTAGGGCTTCTAGGGGTAGGGCTTCTAGGGGTAGGGCTTCTAGGGGTAGGGCTTCTAGGGGTAGGGCTTCTAGGGGTAGGGCTTCTAGGGGTAGGGCTTCTAGGGGTAGGGCTTCTAGGGGTAGGGCTTCTAGGGGTAGGGCTTCTAGGGGTAGGGCTTCTAGGGGTAGGGCTTCTAGGGGTAGGGCTTCTAGGGGTAGGGCTTCTAGGGGTAGGGCTTCTAGGGGTAGGGCTTCTAGGGGTAGGGCTTCTAGGGGTAGGGCTTCTAGGGGTAGGGCTTCTAGGGGTAGGGCTTCTAGGGGTAGGGCTTCTAGGGGTAGGGCTTCTAGGGGTAGGGCTTCTAGGGGTAGGGCTTCTAGGGGTAGGGCTTCTAGGGGTAGGGCTTCTAGGGGTAGGGCTTCTAGGGGTAGGGCTTCTAGGGGTAGGGCTTCTAGGGGTAGGGCTTCTAGGGGTAGGGCTTCTAGGGGTAGGGCTTCTAGGGGTAGGGCTTCTAGGGGTAGGGCTTCTAGGGGTAGGGCTTCTAGGGGTAGGGCTTCTAGGGGTAGGGCTTCTAGGGGTAGGGCTTCTAGGGGTAGGGCTTCTAGGGTAGGGCTTCTAGGGGTAGGGCTTCTAGGGGTAGGGT